GTTAAGTGTGTAATAGGCCGCTTGCATCAATTTTAACAATGGTTCTGTTTTCTCATGTACCTTAGTGTAGGTTGAGGTTCTACTAGAGTCATTAAAACTTACAGTCAGGGCAGTTGAAACTGTGGAGGTGTGTCTTTTTCTACTCTCCTTCTGATTTAAATTATCCTCTTTTTTCTTTATCACTTTATTGGGTCCTACTGCCAGAGGGCGGTGGGTGACTTCTTGTTTTTTTATGAATATTAGCCTTCCCCTGTCTGTACCAGCTTCCCAGTATCTGATTCCCCAAGTTCTTCCTATCAACCATCCTGGGTCTTCTGGTTGCAGTACCTGGATGGTAATATACTTACAATCGCTATACCTCTTCGATCCTCTAGACAAAACAAATTGTGAAGGTTTACAGCCAGGTGGTCCCCATGTTGTCGTTAGGTATTTATCTTGAGAATTAGGGGTCCAGGCGGAAGCAATAGTGGCACAGTCCCAGTGTGCACAATAATATTGATCAGGGTAGTTACAATATCCTTTCCCTGGATTAGATGCAGGACAGAGGTAATAAGGTTTCAAATTTGAACAATGTGGTACAGGAGCTATTTGACACAGTGTAGCAGAGAAACTGGGAGATCCTACTGTAAGATTAGTCCTAACTGTTTTTAGATCGCTCCATCTGTTCAGAGTCCACTTGTACGGCCGATGTGGGCTTTCCCTGCTTGGGGAAAGCTACCACAAAAATACCACAATCCATATATAATTTCCCATATCTGTTCTCCACTGTATTATTGCTCTGCCTCCTCCGTCTACTCCTTTGCTGGGAGCAACGGGGTTTTACATCTTCTCGGCAGCAGTCAATATTCTTCAGGAGAATATGGGCTCTTGATAGGTTCTTGTGACCTTTTCCTTTATTTCTCTAGATCCATATGTTTTCTAAAAGTTGGTTGGTTGTGAACTCTGTTTTCTAGGCAATTTTAACGGCACACTGTTCTAGAGTTTTGTACCAAAATTAGAAAATATTTTATCATGGACTTCCCAGTTCTCTGGTACCAACTACTCCTATCTACAGAATAACTTATCAATTTCTAAAACATTCAGTTTCTCATCAGAAGCAACAAAGAACTCTCGGCAATTCGTACAATGGGTGTCCTGCCTACTGCTGTACAATACCACTCTATACCATATAATGTACATTTACAACTGACCCAGCTCCGGGGTCTTGAAACTGGGTGTTTTATACAGGGTATCTTCTGTGCAGGTCTTTCTGGCAAAGTAATTTCAGTCTCAAGATCACAACAATGAGGAAAAGTTTTACCTTTTTCAGCAATTTGGTATATCCACTTTCCCCAGCCTGGTAGAGGATTAGTCCACTTATCAATGGCTATACCGAACCCTTATTAAGGTTAGGTCTCGAGGTACTTCAAACCAGGAGTATAGGCTGGGCTGGGTCCTAGTCTCGTTCAGGGTGATTCATTTACCAGTCCAGTTTTTCTGAACGTCATTCGGAGATTCCCAGGTTGAGAAGTTACAGTCCATTCAGGAGTGTTGACTGGCCCCTTAACCCGAGATGCGTGAGTCCATCCTCTTTCAGCGGTACGAATGGCTGTATCTGTGGTAAGAAGAACAACAAAGGGTCCTTCCCAACGAGGCGTTAATGAAGACTCTTTCCATGTTTTAATTAATACCCTGTCTCCAGGTTGAATTCTGTGTATTGCCATATCCAACGGGGGTCTCTGAGTTACTAATCCTTTTTTTCCTCAATTCCTGTCTCCTTTTCATTAACTCAATTATATATTCCCTTAAGAGGGTATCTTCCACCTTGGGATTTTCAATCGGGATTCCAAAATCATATGGCATCCCATACAGCATTTCAAATGGTGAGATTCCTGTGTCAGTACGTGGTTGGGTCCGTATATATAATAAGGCCAATGGCAAACACTTTACCCAATTCATTTTAGTTTCTATCATTAATTTAGTCAATTGCTTCTTTATTTCTCCATTCATTCTTTCCACTTTACCAGAGCTCTGTGGATGCCAAGGAGTATGGTACTCCCATTTGGTTCCAAAAAGTTCTGTTGTTTCTTTAATTATTTTAGAAGTAAAGTGTGGTCCCCTGTCCGAATCTACTACTGCCACAGCACCATACCTTGGAATAATTTCTTCTAATAAAATCTTAATCACTGTTTTGGCTGTACATCGGGCTACCGGAAAGGCTTCTACAAAGTGGGTGAGATGGTCCACTAACACCAGTAGATGGCGATACCTGCCTACTTTAGGTAATTCAGTAAAATCTGTCTGTACTTTCTCAAAAGGTCTCTTAGCTATCTCTCGTCCCCCTTGTACTCGTTCTCTCAATTGCCTTTTGTTTACCCTCTGACAGGTTAAACACCCTTCCAAAATTTTCTTTGCTATTCCATAAACTCCCACACAGGCAAACTTGTTTTCAAACTGATCCACTAACGCCTGTATTCCCCAGTGGGTTGTCTCATGTAATCAGCAAGCTTCGTTTATTGATCATTGCTAAGAGCTTAATATATGCCTTATAATTAGCTCATACATATTGCAAAAGCTAAGCTCATTACTGGTTCTGCTTAAATGTTGATCTCACCTCTTACTCTCTTTCTTTGTTGACACTTAGATGTTGATTCCGTCTCTCAAATCACAGTGTCCTGTTTACCAGCCAGCTAACATGGTACAAGGGCACTGTAACCTTGCTATCTAAGATGTTCCCACGGCCTAGGCAAGCCGTGTTCTATAGCCAATTCCCTACAGGCTTACACAGAGCCAAGGTCTTTTCTGCTTTTTGCCATGCCACGCTGGTGAGGATGGGAGGTTGGGAGGAGACACAGTCATGCGACATCATGCTCAGTATATAAAGCTGGGGGGAAAGAGGAGGAAGAGGGGACATCTGGAGTGATGACATTTGTCTTCCAAAATAACCCTTACACGTGATGGGGTCCTGCTCTCCTGGAGATGGCTGAACATCTTCCTGCCCATGGCAAGCAGTGAAATAATTCCTTCTTTTGTTTTGCTTGTGTGTGCAGCTTTTGCTTTTCCTACTAAACTGTCCTTATCTCAACCCACGAGTTTTCCAGCTTTTACCCTTTCATTCTGTGGTGGGGGGAAACAGTTTTTCTCCCTGAAGTTATAAAATGTTAAAACCCCAGGGGGTGGTGACCCTCGAGGTTTTACCCAATGAGCGCTTCTGCAAAATATAAACATATCACAAGCAGACCGGAAGAAAGGTTATTGTTGTTGAAGAAGTAGCCATGTTGTAGAGCCACGAGGAAGGGGCTTGGAGCCCCTTGGGGCCTCTGGGCCACCCCCAGCCCCTGGTTGGGGGGGTTACAGGGACTTGGAACAGCGTAACGCTGGGCTAAGTACCTGTGGCTGAGAGCTGAGTGGTTTTCTCCACTGTAAGAAGCAGCAGGAGCCTAAAGGTGAGTGATTGTAAACAGCAAGGATCACCACTCTGGCCATACCTCCCTTTCTGAGAGATGAAATATTTTTTTTAAGTATGGAGATCACTTAAGAGGATTGATTGTAATAGAATAACAAGAGTGGGATGGTACAATTTGTCCCAGTAGGAATGGGGTAAGGGCAGCTGCTCTCCCTGCATGGCAGTTACACAGCCATGGTAGTGACTGCAGAGAAGGGATCATGCTGAAAAGCCTTAGACATGGGAGACAGTGTAATGGACAAAGCTTTTTACAGATGATGCTTTTTAAGTACAGTCCCCATGTTATTGAGCCTTCTGCATATACATGTCTACAGTTTTCTCTCAGCTGCAGATCCCTGACCACAACAAGACCACTGTTTGGTCTCACCTGCAGATGCAATGAAGAGCCTCTGAAAGCCTTAATGCAGCTAAATAAATAAAATCAAAAATTAAGAAAAATTAATAGGAAGTGTAAATTAAGGCAGGTAGCCCTCTATTAGCATCCCTACTTGAAAAAATTAAATATCTACCCAAAGGCCTTCTCCATCTCAGGCTGAAGGATTATCAAATCCCATAAAACCCATGAAGGGTTTCTGCTGACCAAAAATCTTCCAAGAACTTCCAGATACCTGCTGTTGCTTTACAAATTGCAAGGGGCAAGAAACTTGCAATTAAGAATTTGACAAAATGTATACACCTGGGGTTTGTATTTGTTTAGTTAAAATGAATTGCTAGAACTTCAGACACACCAGGATCTTTTAATGGTATTAAAAAAAAAAAAAAAAGCTCAAATATACGAACAAAATGTGACTGATCCCAATAATTCAGACTTTCCCTATGAAGGTATTTCTCTGCAGGCAAGTCACAACCAAGGATTTACCAAGTCTCTCCTGGACATCTTTATGTCCTTTTCCTAGGCATTCAGGCATTACCTGGAGGTAATGATAGCAGTAAAAGTCTTTGCGCCAGCACACAGGCATCAGCAATTCTATACTGGTGGCATTGGAAAGCTGTTGAACCTTGGCCTGCAGGATAGTAACACAATGCAATTTCTTCATTTAGGCTACATCTCCATTCTTGGACCTCCCCTGACTGCTTATTTGCCATTCCCTGTTGGGCAGATGATTAGCAACTACCTGTAAAAATAAAAGGTGCTAAAATCATACAGTTCCTCTTGTAATCTAGTTTTCCAAAGGAATAAATATCACTCACTGGTACAGAAACTCTCCATGTGAAATACAGCCGAATGATTTTTACCGTATCCCACAGGAAGATACCAGAGCTTACACACGCTCAGAGAACTATCTTGAACACCCCAGTCAGTCAGCAGACCCCTTGAGAACAGAACTGCTAAGTTTCACCAAGTTTTTGACCAAGTACAGTGAAGGGACAAGAACTAAAAGCAGTAAAGGACAGGTCCAATGAGACCAATTTTGAGTTCACCAAACACCCCACAATGGATTTTCAGAATTCTTGTGATATAGAAAAGAACAGTTTGACTTGGAAAGACTACTGAATTTAAAGAATGTCTATGTGAACTAGAACTGCACAACTTATTTGTTTCTGCAGATGAAGATGGAATTTTTTCTATTTTTATTCCAGTCAATGTTCTGCTGAAGTCAAAAACAACTGCAGAAAATTATTCCCCTAATATTGCCTGATGAGACTCCTCCTTTATTTATCTTGCCTGTTCAAGTCTTCTCTCATGCTCCTAAATTAATAATAAGCATACTTGGGATAGTACAGACCTCCAAACTCACAAAGCATTTAAAATGTCAGTTTCTTAAGACATTTAAGAGAGAACTGTATGACTGAACTTGGAACAATGACTTCTTAGGGGGACACACAGCCCTGAAGTTTACAATGCACACTATAAAAATAAAAGACATACAATACCCTTCTCTTTTTCCAAAGCCTTAAATTATCTTCTATCGCATTTTTCTCCACTTCCTGGTAAGATCTCCCCCATAATTTGCCTACTTGGAGGAATTTAAGACAAGACTATTTATTCTATTGACTTATTCAGTATGGTCTGATTGAGCCTGGTATCTTCACCAGGCAACAAATACTGGAACCTGGAGAATCTTCTACCTTCTTAAGACGAGGAACTCGCATAAGTGAATGCTTCAACATGTGTCTCCTCTCACAATCATTGAACTGAGGTTTTTAATGTGTGTGTTTAATACAGTAAAAGAAACGTCACTAACTTGCATGGAACATTACACACCTGGAGAGGGAGGTGATTTACAGGACTTGGTTATTTCTACTGACAAGGATTGAAAATCTCCAAGTTGATTTATGACTATTGGGCAAACCTCTGAACAACGCCAGTGCATTTATGTCAGCAATTATTTTTCATACCAAATGTAAAGAGACCCAAAATACTAATTTTCCAATAAGAATACAAAAATAGTTTCTCTTGCAGCTTTCCAGTCAACATCCACCTAACTAAAATAAGTTAGTACAATCATTTGTATGGGTTGCCTGCACACTGGGCAGGGTTTGTTCCTCTTCTTAAGCTTTTTTGCGCACGTGAAACATGACATGAGGTGTCCCGTTTTGCCGTGTACTATGCAGCCATTTTTAGGTCTGCTCTGACATATGACACAGGGCTCTATGCTGGTAACAGGCAGACTGGATTCCAGGCTTTCCTCTTTGTCTTGCATTTCTCTCTTCTCAGGTTCCTTATGGTCGTCCTGACTGCTACAGAATAGGCTGCTTGATGTTGATGGCTGGGAATAATCTTCACTTTCCTGGGACTCGGAAATTTGTACTGCTTTCTCCTCATTCTCATCCACAGCTGGTTCTTTATCTTCAGTCATTTTTGTTTTCTTGCAGTCAGGAACATCAAAACCTTCTTCAGACTCTGCAGGGAAGGAACCTTCTGATTTGCTCTTTTCCAATTTCTCACTCTTTTCATCTGGAAGCCAATCCTCGCGTAGGGCCCAGCATCTGTGGCAATGTCGCGGAAGCGGAGGATTCATTTCGCTACATTCAGGACACTTCCAATAATCCTTTAGTGAATTAAAGGTTGGAACAGCTTAAGCTACTTGGAACACATACAACTGAAGTATTCAGAGACTGTAAACAATTTACTAATGTCAAAATAATAATTATGTTGAGCTATTGACTTGTTTATAATTTTAAAATGCCATTCAGTGTCTGGCCCCATTTTACCATTCTAGATTACAACAGTTCTTATTTTAAAACAACTCTGATTTTCTTTCTTTTTGCAGTAGGTTTGTGACTAGAACAATAACAATTTATTATTTCTTATGCAAATCTGCAGAAGCCAGACCACAAAAATCTTCAGAGAACCTCACAAAAAACTTCTAATAAAATGGTCACCGTTCCTCTTCTTTTTGAGAATGGACTTCTGAAATGGGAACTACTCAAGACTGAAGGGACCTATCACCTGTAGGATGCTAAGCTGTTGGTGTGCAAAATGGCCAGGTGAGGGCACTCTGACACAGAGGTACAAGAGAAAACACCAGCCAATAAAAAAACAGAAGTGAAAAAAGGGGAAAAAAAAAAAATCTTGCATCACCATCTCAGCGGATACTCTATGGACTACACTGAAAATAAGCCACTATATCTTGTTAAAAATACATTTAATTCTTAGAAGTAATGCAAGCCTAGGGGGAATCAAAACATAAAAATCACCCAAAAATTATTTAGATGAGTCCTGAGTAACATCAAAAGCTTAAAAGACCTATTCTAAATCCTAAAAATAACATACAGGCCTCTTTTACCACACACAAGTACTGCTATGTTTTCAGAAGGTGGCCAGCCCTGTCTTTCACAAACAGAATAACGTCCCTCAGTCCTACAGACCATCAAGGGACTGGAACACTTCAGACAGTTCTGGAAAACAACTTTATTTAAGGTTCAACTGTGAAAAGCAAATATAAATGAGGTACCCTGCATTTTAATTCTACTGTGTGCTTCAAGACCCTAAGTTTCTTCCCACACTTCAAAAATGGTCTCACAGAATATAGAAAAAGCCTCTCTTAATTTTATATTACTGTTCTGAAAAAAGGTTTGCCTTCACATCTGTATGTCAGAGATACCTTAATTCAGGATGGACAATAAAACTAGGTATTCTGATTTATAGGAAAAGTTTTTAAATGTACATGACCAAGATTTTTTCATTTTGTGCAGAAAGTCAGATTTAGGCTTCAAATAATTTCCTTTGGAAATGATTTCCTTTAGGAAGCTTACTAGTTATAAAAAAATCAAGGTTAATAATTACATGTTCAATAATTAAAATATTGCATTGGAACCTTCAAGCATATAAGAAAAAGTCAATTTGATTCTTAAAAAAAAAATCACTGGTAGCAATGGAATTCATCTATACTTCTTGATCTCTATTCTGTCAGTTCACCCAATTTATGATGTTTTACTTGACAAGTTTTTACTCACAGCTAGAGAAATCTCTGGATCTTCATCAAATGAATCATCATCACTATCTTCATCCTGGTAAATAGTCAGCTGATAAACCTGGTTTAAATGGGAAAAAAAATGATGTAACTGTTTTCTGGCATTCAATTAAAAACCCCAAATATTTTTAACCTTATAGATTTTCAGACAGGGAGCTACTGGAGAGCCTCCAGTGATGGGCCACTAAGATTATTAAACAGATTAGAGGAGCTCCAGAGGAGCCTGGAGAAGGCTCAGGGCAGGTGGTGTCTTATCAACATATATAAATAGCTGAAAGGAGGGTATAAGAAGAGGGAGACAGGCTCTTTTCAGTGGTGGCCAGTGACAGGAATAAGAGGCAACTGGCACAAATTAAAACACAGGAGGTTCCCTCTGAATGTCAGCAGACACTTTTTACTTGCGGGTGATCGAGCACTGGCACAGTTGCCCTGATCATCTCTGAAAGACTCTATCCTTGGAGATATTCAAAACACATCTGGACACGCACCTGGGCAATCAGCTCTACCTTAGCCAGGGCTGGGGGATAAGATGATCTTCAGAGGCCCCTTGCAATCTCAGTCATTCTGCAATTCTCAAAACTACTGCTGGGAGCAGCGGCACACCCCAATCCTTTCTTTCTCCAAATTACTGTCTTATCTCAGGGTGCAGCTCTGCAGCGCTACACTACAAGTTGGTGTACATCAGTACAGTCAGTCCATTCAGCCTCTCAAGTACCACAGTCATGTATGTCCCTGGTGAATTCTGCCTCTGGTACTTACCCAATCTTGCCATGAGCTGATTAACCTCTCTAAAGTAACAGAAAACTAACCCAGAAAAAAAACTCCGCATAAATTCTCACTTAATTCCTGACGTTCCATGTATCTAGACCTCTTGAAAATTATGGTAATCACAGTTTTACTGTCTTCTTCCTACTAATGAAAATTTCTAAAACTGTGGCTCAGCATCAATATGAAACATTTGTATTCACAGACGCAAATGACTTGGAAGTATCCCTTTGCAAAGAGTTACTAGGTAAGTTTTCATTCAATATCAAATAATGTCAAAGGTCAACTCATACTTCTATAACTAAAAATACAGAAAGACTCAAGTATGCATGCTGCCTTTGACTCTAACAGCTAGTGAGTGAAGTTAAACACACAGACTTTTCCTACATAGCCTGTTTCAGAGCCTGCAGAAAGCCTCAGCACCGTCTCAGTTACTTCCTGGTGTGTGTATAATGGTGACCCAACTGCACTGACATGTGGTTGGATTTAACGAACAACTGGGTGCAAATTTTCCCTCTCACCAACCCCCCAAGGTCGAAAAAATCCCCAAGCAAAATAAATACGTACCTCATCATCTTCATCTGTGAGCTCCTGCCCTTCTTCATTATGGCTATAATCTTCTGAATAAATGGACTCAACTTCGAACTCTACACTGAACTGGTCTGAAACAGACCTGTGGTCAAACCAATCAGAGTTCTCGCTTAATGAACTAGCATCAAGATCCTGGGAGAAAAGAGAAAGTACATATTTAACCTCACCAGTCCATATACATAACCATTACTGTTAAAGCAGCTCTTAAGATAAAACTGTGCTACTCAGTTTAGTTAGCTATGGAAGAAATAAGACCAGTGGCTGTTAGACAGTACATCTTCTATGAGATAAATTATAGGTAGGTAAAAATAAAGCTAGATCTGAAAGCCTTTTGTTGACTCTGTAATAAGAGGCTGCAGTCAGCCTATAGCCAGCTTGAAGACTGCAGTTACTGTTTCACATAGGCTCTCCTAAAAAGTGAAAGAACAGATACAGGAAGATGCTGTCTTTTGGCTGCATGTCATTAAATTCTCTGTTCTCATCAACTCTGCTAATCTTTTAATTTGAGACTGTGGCTAAACAGTCTTCCTATAAAATAGGAAGACTGAAGATACGGTATTAGTTCTGTCAATTCAGAATACAGTATGTGACTGGGAATACTGTTAGTTTAGCTCTTCACAACTTAAATCTCATCACAGGTAACTTGCCTTGGTGTTTGTTGAAAACAACAATATGAAACAGTAGAGGCTTGAAAAATGAATACAGTGTATCATCAACATACATACTACTGAGTACAGTTACCCAGGCTGTACCAGAACTACCAACTAATTCTGAATTATGGAACATCTGTGACTGCTTTTCTTCTCTTAACACTTACTTTAAAACACAAAATATATCTGACAGTTTTTTCAACGCTGTGCCAAGCAGTAAGGGTCTTGGTTTTAAAGAAAACTCAAAGTTAATATTTAAAAAAATTTCCCTTCAGCTTTGTCAGCAGATCTATGAAAGACCCCACCCACACACTATCTTTTCTTTAATCCTCTTTTCCTTCCTCTCACACCACTGGAGGCACTGCTGCTTTTAATTAAGATCATGATGTTTTCAGATGCATATTTGCACTTGTGGCATTTGCAAAATTTGTACCATAAAGATATTTTATATTTATACTTTGACTTACGGGAATGGAAAGAGAATCTGTTGAATCACTGCTATTGCTTCTTTCATGGCACAGACCACTGACTACACACCATGAGAGACTTTCATCAAACGTCAACGAAATGCTGTCTGACTTGTGTCGCTTTCTTCTGTCACTATGCAGATCATCTGAAGAATTTTCTTCTGGGCATATTCAAGAATTTTTATTACTCCAAAAACAACTATGCAATGTGCAGTTTTGAATATTCTTAACAGAAGTTTAAAATATAATTTACTTATAAAGAAATCTAATAAGATAACTCAGTATTATTTCTTGAGGAAAAAAGTAAAGGCACCAAAACTTATTCAAAAAGACACAATAACACTGATAAATATGTAAAGTGTGAAACATTCCTGAAGCCAGTATTTCAGGGGCTGGGTTTCCCCACTTGTCCCATCAGTACAGCTTGAGAATAGCAGCATCCACATGCAGGAAATAAAATGATCACAAATTTGGAAGAATTTTTACTCCACACATGACACATTATACCCCTCCTAATTTTATGAAATAGATCTTAATTGTCCTTGCTCCCTCTACAGTCAGTAGACAGAAGGGCACTTTCAGAGAGCTTCTGAGTCCATCCCAGAATTTGTAGGGAGACAGAGCAACTAGCTCCCAGGTCACAGGCATACAGAATTCCTTGTGCTAAGCAAGGTAAGCTCAGGTTCAAGTTTCAGACACCTGAACAAATTTGCCAATGATTAGTTCCACTATATGTAATTGTATTCACTCAACAAGATTTTTGCAATAATCTGTTATAACTTTCAACTCACACTAGCAAAAAAATCTTCAAGATATACTACGTAAAAATTGAACTCTGAGAGCATTGCTTTATGCTGTGCCTATTAAGTATGCTTGGTTTGAAGGCAAAAAGACAATGCTTTTTAAATCCATCACATTTTGAAACAACCACCAGAAGCAGCATAAGGAGTTGGAGTGCAGCATTTTAGGGATAGGTAAGTAAAAATTCAGTTCCACTGACTTTTAGAGTGTTTGGTAAGAAACAATTTTATTAAAAAAGGTGCTGTAAAGTCAGTATTTAAGTGCAGTGGAGTGAAAACCCCCCAAGATGCCTGAAAACTTGGTTTAACAGACCTCAGTATGAGCCTGCTGCCCCACCACAGGTGCCTTTTGCACCCACCCTCTATTGCCCAGCCTCTCCCTTGCCTTGCAGAACACACTGTGACAATCCATGAGTCTTCAAGTCTTGAATCTTTCATTGTAAAAGGAAAGAGAACAAAACACTTGTACATACTTTGAGACTTCTCTTACTTTCCCTTGGTGCTTCTTGGCTCAGTCCCTCTCTTTTCTTTTTTCCGCCCTGAGAGCCCCACCAAATTTGGAGCCCCCAGGCCCAAGGGTTGCTCCTGTCCATCGTTGTCCTCATTTAGTTGTCCTGGCTCCATGCTGTACTGATACTGTATCACCACAAGGTTTCTATACACTATATAAAGGGCTCCAAAGGAGCTGCTACTATCCCAATTTAACAAGAATAGTGGTTTAAAAGGAAGATTTCCTATAAATTAGAAAAAAAGTGTATATAAAAACACTATATTAAAAGAAGTTTTAAAGTTGTAACAAACTAATAAATGGATGCAAAGACAAGAGTTAATAAACAGACCTACAATAAGTAAGCACAACACAGCACCTCATGTGCTCTGGGTCATGCCTAAATATTACAGGTTGTGCTGTTTAACCGAGGCTTTCCATCCCTTCACTAGTTTTAGTTACAACATTAAAACGATCTTTTAATTTAGTGCAAACCGCTCAGCAACGCAGCACAGTTTTTGACTGACTGACATAACAGTGACCTACAAGGAACACAAAAAATACTACTCAAAAGCTGAGGAACTGAAAAATGTTCCCAAGCAACTGAAGATGTTCTATGCAGCGACAGGTTATCACTGCCCAGATAATTACTACCACCAAGTCGTGAGGTAAGACAAGTGATGGAACAAACTAATGTAAGAAATTCCACAAAATAGTATTTAAGTAGAACTGTAGAGAACACTTCCACTGAGAAACTTATTCAGGTTTATGCTGACTGGCTTGTTATTGCTAATTATAAAAAGAAACATTTCATATTTTGAAAATGTATTTGCCAGTGATTATTGAATAACCACAGCAAAGAAAAGACAAAAAGGAAGCAAATATGATATTTAAGTTACCAGATGTTTTAATAAGTGCTTAATGAACAATCAGTTACCTAAACATATCCAAAGTCACTGTAACATGACACTGGAGCGATGCAAGGAATCGTGTTTTTCTTTTGAGGCTGAACATTTTGTTTTAGATAAGCAGAGAAACATGAATACTACTATCTGTCAGCCTCTGTTCAGTCATCAAGGCAAAAGAATGTACTTTTTCCCCTAAGTGTTCATGCTACTGAAAGCTCTGCACCATAAATCTGCACATACCAGATTCACTGTGTGTCCTCCTCCTAGAAGATGTAGTTGGTCGGGAAGTCACGTTCGATGAAGTCTGCTTCTCTTCTAACTCTTGCATAGACTCCTGATTAACAGAAATAATGAGTAAGCCTGAGCAAGAATGTGAAGTTAAAGGCTAGAATCAACTAATTACATCTAAACCATTGACACTAGCATGCAAACTAAACAGAATTTACAACTCAGAACATTTATTAAAATAAAATTAAAGTATCACCTTAAGAACATTTTCTTCTTCAAGCTGAGATCCGGCATCATCCTCAGGTGTGCCACCAAGTGTAGAGTCTGAAACCAAACCAAACCAAACCCCGTAAAACAACATAGCAGAAAAAGTTAATTTCAGGCTCAAAAAGTAAATTCTATATAGAACTTAACCCCCAGACATTTTGGAACAATGGAAAAAAACACACTGCTCCTTTGCTTTTCGGGTGTGTGCAGCACCTTCCCTGTAACAATACTGAAGTGGGAACATGGGGAGAAAGAAGAAATGTCAACCGCAAAGCAGCTCAGAATTTCATTATAAACGGCTTCAAATGAAGGCTGTTCATGAGCTGTGATTCTGCAGATATGAAAGAATACAAGCAGGAAATGCAATACACTTCTTCCTCTACAAAGCGCTTTCTACTAGCTATCATGTTGTGGGAACACTGAATTAAGAAGACAATTAATAGAAGAAAAAATAGCTGTTGTTGATGGTATATGCTTACTATCAGACAGACCCTGAATTAATAAAGACTCTTAAAAAAAAATTTGAGAGATAAATTTTAGTTTGCAAGCATAACAATAGGGATAATAAAGAGAGCATGTTTCCCATCTTCAGCATTTGAATTTGCCTTTAGGAAGAATCAGAAACAAAGGGTCTCTTAATACAGATTTATAAGCCAATTTACAAAATGGCTTCCATTGTTTAACTTCTGGTTCACACCCTGTATGAGGCAAAAATTACAGCTATATTGAGCATTTTTATACTGCAGGACAGATGACTGTATATAACAATTACCAGTTACCACAAAGCTACTCTTTTAAAGTATACAGATCTTTCAAAACAAGACTCAGTGTAGCTGAGGGTGACCAGTTCTAAATACAGAACTTTAACAGAAAAAAAATGAACAGCACTTGCCCTGACTTTATTGCTGGCACAAGTTCAAGAAGCTAGTTTTTTGTATTAAAACTTTTTATGTTGTTGAGGGCTTTAGCTGTAACAAATACAAGCAAATGACTAAGTTTTCAATTTAGTACTCTTTTTGTTCAGCTCTGATTGTGTTTGTTCTGGTTCTAGTCAACAAAATTATCCAAATGTTGCTCAGAATTCTTTTCTGCCCCAGAAGAAACAGTGTTTGCTTTGAGTCACTATTTATGACTGCTCTGGACAGCAGTGGGTAAAGCCAAATATCTAATAATGGACAGATCACCGTTATCTGATCACTACCTGCAAGATGCATTATATATTTTCCCTACTGCTGTTTCTCAAAACAAAATGGCCTCCTAAACTAGCTTACCTTGTTGATTGATTGCTATCAGATTTCTGGAAATCATCGAATATAGTCTCCTTAAATGGGAATAAAGAAAGAATCGTTGCAAGTTAGCTACATGGAATCATAGAAGAGAGCTTACCATCTTCAAAGATGCAGAGTTTAAAAAGGCCATACACATTGTGTTCTTCATTATTTCCCAACCAGACTCTCAGAAAATAATCTCATTTTACCTGTGTTCTTTTACTGAAAAGCTTGTTACTCCAAATAAATCCCCCAGGAGATCATTTGCACAGTGTACAATATGTTGCTGTTTTTCATCATATAATTGTTTAGACATAATATATTGTCCAATATAGAATATTACCTGTACAATAAATGAAATACACAGACATTAAACACCCAGGTTGTTGTTTCAAGATTAAGAGAACAAGCACATTAAATACACTGAAATTTGCTCTTCAAACTCTGAATGCCTAGAACTCCCTTTGAGCTGACAGATTTTCATCTATCATTCCCCAAGAACACTGCTATTCTAATCACCAGAAATTTTTGTTCACGTTTTTGAGAAACTAGCTAAATAACCAGTTACAGCAGGAGAATAAACGCAACATCTTGTTTCAATAATTTCTAGATAAGCTATGAACTACACTGCCCCCCAGTCACCCAAACAATGTATCTGTACTCACTGTAGTCTACCTTTAGTGATTAAAAGTTCTCACCTCCTTCATAGTAAAAGTATCCTTTTCTGCACCAGCTAACTTTAACAACTTCAACAATAGTGGCTTTGGTTTAACCTGTGAGGGCAAGTAGAAAAACAGCACCAATTATCCACCAAGAAAATGTAACTTATACAGGTTACGTTCCTCCTTCTGTATTAATCTGACATGCAAACACACAACTATATGAAAACAAATCCACAATCAAATTTTTCACTTTGCAAAGTTAAAAAGCAAATAACATGAACAAAATGATACTAAACTTTTCATACACCTTAGCTCAAAAGTCCATCTTAGCTCAAACCCGTCTTTTGTTGTCTCCTAGTTTCAGCTGGGATAGTTAATTTTCCTCCTAGTAGCTGGTACAGTGCTGTGTTTTTTGATTTAGTAGGAGAATAATGTTGACTACACACTGATGTTTCTGTAGTTGCTAAGTAGCTACACTAAATCAGGGATTTTTCAGTGTCCCGTGCTCTACTAGTGAGAAGGTGCACAAGACACTGTGTGGGCGTATGGCCAGGAGAGCTGACCTAACTGGCCAAAGTATGTTCAGCTGACCTGAACATACCACAAAATGTCATGGGGTGAGTTGGTCGGGAGGGACCGATTAATGCTTGGGGATTGGCTGGGTATCAGTAAGCAGGTGATGAGCAACTGTATTGTGCTTCACTTGTTTTTCTCAGATTTTACTACTCTCCCTTTTCTTTATTATTAATATACTTTATTTCAACTATTAAGCTGTTCATATCTCAACCCACAGGTTTTACCTTTTCTTCTGATTCTCTCTCCCATCCCACTGCAGGGGGGTGGGGTGGGGAGCAAGCAGCTCCGTGCTACTGAGTTGCTGGCTGCGCTTAAACCTCAACATGCTGGTAAGTAGAGATTCCTTAATTTGAGCTACTGGATTTGTTTATTAGTTCCAAGTACAGGGCTGGGTCCTGGGGAATTCAGCTTCACTTCT